TAGTCCAAGATGGAGAGGATCTTTCGCAACATGTCTGTGGTCTGTTGAAGGAACTAGAAACGTATTTCTCCTCGGCGCCCGTCGGACAGTTTGCTAGTCGCCTCGGCCTCCTGAAGCAACTTTACAAACAAGTTGAGCTGATCACTTCGGATTACCCGTCGATGTCAATCATTCAAGAAGGTCTCCATAATTTTATTAGCTTCTACTCTCGGTATAAGAAGGCCGTAGACGACTTAATACGTGCTGGCAGGAGTCCTCTCGAGAAGCAGATGAAAGACGTTCTCCTTTTGGCGAGCTGGAAGGATACTAATATCGTCGCGCTGCGAGAAAGCGCACGGAAGTCACACCATAAACTTTTTAGGATTGTGAAGAAGTTCAGAGAAATACTCGGCCAACCTATGAAGCCGATTATTGATGGTGGTCTACCAGATGAGGTACTTGATGGGGCCGCTACAACTGAGATTAAAACGGAAATCATGCCAATCGACAAAACCGCAATTAAGCTGTGCTCTGAAGGCATTCCTAGCTGGAGGGATGAGTACCGGAGGTTAGCGAATACCCGGAGGACAACAGACATCATGAGTAAGCTGAGCCGTATTCCAGAGTCTGCTTTGGATGCTGGTGAAGCCATTGACTCTTTCCTATCCAATCTCGAGGAATCGGCCGCTGAGCTTCGCAAGGAGACCCCTAGCACTCTCACTGAAGAGAACAAGGCATTGGTTAAGCATTTGAAATCGCGTAAACGGAAACTGTTTGCGGAGACTTTAAAGGGAGCCAGGCAAATGGGAATTCAGTATAATCTCAGTACTGATGTTCTCTCCCAACAAGATGCGCTTTCTACAATACTTGCTACGTCAGACACACTCGGTTCGCAGGCCTTCGAGGAATTCAAGAGCACTGATTACTACTTCCACAAGATGCTTGACCTCACACCTCGGGTCCGACGCGCATACAACGAGCATTCGGACGACTTGACTATAGCAGAAGTTGACAGAAGTATTGGATTCCTTGAAGGTATACTTCATGTTGCGCTGAACCAAAGACGTGGATTGGCAAAAGCGCTGAAACACCACGGCGCACTGACCTCCTCTTCGAAGTATATTCGCTCCGTTAGCACTTTGCGGGGAGGCAATAAAATCAAAGCCGGGCCGCTATTTGCTAATTACGAGAGAGTCTGTACTTGGCTTGTCCAGATTATCAAAGTGGGGAGACATCTTATCGAGCTACACGCAAAGTTCGGAAACTTGGACCATAAGGAGCTTCTCCGACAGCTTAATAGCAGGTTGGCTGAATTTACTAATTGGTCTTCCGAATGGAAATCACTTCCTATATTACCTGACAATCTTACCTCACTTGAAAGGTCCCAATTAGAAGCAAAGATCCGTTCATCGCTTAATCAATTCCGGAATGTGTTAGATGACGGGTGCCGACGATGGCCGGTATTAGCATTCCTACTGGAGCAAATCAAGCTATGGACTGCTGTGGATGAGCAGTCGATATCCACTTCGATTCTGGAGACCAAACAGATCGAAGTCATCCTTGATGCCTCTAAGAACCTTTGCGATAGCATTCTTGTCACCATTGAGCAGCTCAATAAGACAATGATCAAGTTACCTGCTTCGCAAGAGGAAGCCGGATGGTTGATAAAGTATGGCGAGGTTATGGCTGATTCCCTGAAAGTTCTACGTATAGACAAGGTCGAAAGAAGTATGACTGAGCTTTTAACACTTTTCGCCCAGGTCAACTTGGCTGACTCCTCCGTTAACCAAATCTCAACAGCCCTCATGGCAGTCGTGGCACCGATTGTAGAGCAGTATCAAGTTACTTGCAACCAGATGATCGGGTCATTCGCACGTGTCCATAGAAACACTTGCAAGCTTGGCTACAAATTAAGCAAGAGTTTTACCCAGCTTGCCTCCCAAGGCTTCTGCACTCCTCAAGAGAAGTCGGAGGAAAAGTCCGGGGAGACTGGGGAGCTTGAAAGTGGCACAGGTCTCGGAGAAGGCGAGGGCGCTGAGGATATCAGCAAGGATATTCAGCCCGATGAAGACCTGTCCGAATTGGCACAAGAGAAAAACCAAGAGTCTAAACAGGAAATGGAAGATGAAAAGGATGCTGTTGATATGGCTGATCAGGAGCTCCAAGGCGACGTCGAAAGCGTAGACGGCGGTGACGACGAAGAAAAAGGATCCAACTCTGGCGACGAAGATGAAAGTGGGGATGAAATGGATGAGGAAGCCGGTGAAGTAGATGATCTAGATCCCTCTGCAGTCGACGAGAAGATGTGGGATGGGGAGAATGAGGATGACGCAGAGAAGGACCAGCAAGGAGAAAACGCGAAAGGACAGAAGAAGAAGGACGAACAAGTCGCTGCCGAAGCACAGCCCGATACCCAGGAAGTCGAGGAAGGAGAAGATGGTAGCCAAGGCGATGAAAATCCTGATGAGAATCCTACCGCGGAAGAGGACGAAGATATCCAGCAGCAGGATGAAGCGAATATGCAGGACCAAAACGTCCAAGAGCAGGACACCTTGGCATTGCCTGACGACATGAACATCGATGGGAATGATAACGATTCAATGTCCTCAATAAGTGACGATGATCTGGATAAGCTCTCAGACGTGGACCAGGAAGAGCAGAAAGACAAGCAGATGAGTGACCAGGAAAGCGAGACGAACGAAGATGTGGAGATGGAGATGGCGCCTCCAGACGCCGGTAATGATAATGAAGAAATGGACGAGAACGCGGACCAGGATGAAGAGGCCAGGATCCAAGAAGACGAACAAGCAGAGGAACCGGATACCCAAACAGAAGAACAGGAAATGGCTCAGTTGCCGTCTAATGATGATGCTAATGCAGCCAACGAGGACGCTGCGCCAAGTGATGTGAAGGGCGGCGGACAAGACCTGGATCCAAACCAGACCGAAGAGGCTGATAATGCTGAAAGTAATGCTGCCCAGCGAGAGGATGGGGAAATGGGCGAGAATGCAGCGGACCAGGACGCATCAGCTGGTAAGAAGGGAAGCGTCTCGAAAACCCAGGAGCAACCTTCTGAGACAGAGCTTGATGATACTAAGGATTCATCGACTAGTCAACCTTTCAAGGCACTTGGGGATGCTCTGGAGAAGTGGCACAGGCAGCAGCAAGAGATCAAAGAAGCTCGGGAACAAGAGCCACAAGAACAATCGGTAAATGCTGAACCGGAATCAACAATTCGGGAGTTCCAACACATCCAAAACGACGAGTCTGCTGCAGATGCCCAGGCAATGGGCACCTCAAATGAAGAACAAAAACAGCAGATTGATGAATCGATGGCAATTGACGAGGATGACCAAGCTGCAGACAGTCGAATTATTCCAGAAGATGAGATGGAGACGAATGATGTAGACACGGATAAGATGGATATTTCGGAGCCCCAGGACCAGCAAGACCAGCAAGATACGCAGAAGGAAGAAAGACCCAGTGGAGTATCAACTCACCAAGGTACTTATAATCGAGATACGGCACCCCCAATGAACGGAGAGGAGCCTTTAGAAGAGGTGGAGGAAGAGATCGAAGAAACTTCTACACAGTTGTCGATAACTCATCTATCAGAGCCAAGCTTGGATCTAAGAGATTTTGACGAGACCATGCAGCAATGGACTTCATTCCAAAGCAAAACTCATCCGTTATCGCTATCCCTGACTTCTCAATTACGTCTTATTCTAACTCCGTCTCAATCGACAAAATTGTCTGGATCTTACCGGACTGGAAAGCGTCTCAATATCAAGCGTATCATTCCTTACATCGCTTCTAGCTACAAGAGGGACAAGATTTGGATGCGCAGAGCCATCCCGACCAAACGCTCTTACCAGATCCTACTCTGTGTCGACGATAGTAAGAGTATGGGCGAGTCCAGCTCCGGTGAACTGGCGCTCGAGTCCCTCGTCATGGTCTCGCGGGCTCTTACGATGCTAGAAGTGGGCCAGATCGGCGTTCTAGGCTTCGGCGCAAATACTTTCATGGCTCACGAGTTCACCGAGCCGTTTGCCTCTCACGACGCCGGCGCTAAGGTGCTGCAGAAGTTCACATTCCAACAGGACTACACAAACATCGAACTCCTCATCAAGCAGACAATCGAGCGTTTCCGGCTCGCACGCGCCCAAAGCACTAGCCGCGGCTCCGAGGACCTGTGGCAACTAGCGCTCATCCTCTCGGACGGACTGACACCGTCAGCGGCCCACGAGCACATCCGCGTGCTGCTGCGCGAGGCTATGGAGGAGCGCATCATGATTGTGTTTATCATCATGGACGACACTGCATCTGGCAAGGACAAGGACAAGCAGAGTGTCGTCAATCTCAAGAAGGTCCGATTCATGGGCAACGACGAGATCCGCACCGAGTACTACCTCGACACGTTCCCGTTCCAGTACTATCTCATCGTGCATAACCTCGAAGATCTCCCTGGCGCGCTGGCGGGGCTGCTGAGGACGTGGTTTGCGGAGGTTAATTCTTAGGTGTGATTGGTTGTTTGTGTTATAGCATGGTATCATGCTGGCGTCAATGTTCGTGTTGGGGAGTTTAGGGGTTGGGGATTTGTGAGAATAAAAAAGGGGTGATTAGTCCGCTTGGACTACGTGGTGATAGATGTTCATAGTATATACAGGTACGGAATATAATTAACTGTTCCGTGGATGGCAAGAATATCATGAAAATAATCCTTTGGCGTGATTCGTTAGACTGGTTACAACTTTATCGTCAACGTCACGGTCGTGCTGTTAGAGTCTTTTGTCAGGCACCTAGTATTTCCGGAAGAAGAGAAGAGACGAGGCTAGGATTTTATGCCTCTAAATAACACAAGGAGGCTACCTACCTAGATTATAGATACTTCGAGGGGGTTTCAAGACAGTTCAAGTGGTAAGGGAAAATCAATAGCGCCGTTAGGAGTTGAACCTGAACTATTTTATTGACTGACAAGTCACTGAGAGACGGCATAGGAAGAAAAAGTAAAATAATGAACACCTCTCATATGATGCCGACTAAGTTGACGTGGTTTTAAAGCAGGCTGCGCTCAGCCATTGTTACTATACTAATGCCCATTCCAAATCTTGAATATTCTTCGGCAATTAAATTATTGGCTGTTCTCGATCTGTCAGTTATCACTCTTTATAATGCGCCCCCGGGGGTTATAACTGCTCAAGTCAACCCCTGGACTACATATGATCTGTTGATACCAGACATCTAGTTATATAAGGAACCATACCGACTAGGAACGAAGGCCTTATGTACCTAATGTAATCACACACGGGACTAGAGAAGGATTGAGGAGATTCTTGATGATGGACGCAGGTGCTTTCCTAAGTCAAACTACTTTCTGTTTCATGAACCTGTCGAAAAATGACATTATGGCGTCGACGCTTTCTAATGAGCAAATCTTGGATATATCTAGGTAGTCTAGCATGAGCATTTATAACAAGATTGAATAGATGGGAGCAATCACTTACAGTAATCTGGTCGAACAATGATTACCGCACCTCGGTTAGGATCTATCCCATACGTTTCATACGCGTGACCGGATGGCGAATTATATCCATCATCGTCGGAAAAGACTTTAGTAAGAGCTATGCGTGTATTAGTATCTGATAGTTTAGTCCTTAGAATATAGAGGACGTTGTTCACTTACACTTCATCTTCCATTTGCTTACGATGGGTGTGAAAACAGCAGGGATCTGGTCTGGTTCAACTTCTGTACGTCCCGACGAGAATAGGAGTATAGGGTTGATGACCGCATCACGGTCGACATCCGGCGGCGTGAAAGCATCAACTATCTTCTGTAAGCCGGATGAAAACTATACACACTAGTCAGTACTTTCCTTACTAATTAATGACAGTGTTGAATAGGGAATAGGGGCATATGCGAACATTCTGCAATCGTGTCAAAGTCTGAGAATCGCGTATTATATCACCGGGAAACACTAAGATATGCCACCAGGATTGGGCCGGTAAGAATCGGACCAGTTGCATTACGCGAGCATCGGTAAAGCGGATTACTGGAACACTCGGGAGTCTCATCCCGACGGTTAAGCCAGTGGCTAAGGAAGCTTCACTAGTCTTCGCAGAAACTATTATAGAGTCGTTGTAATTTATAGCCTGGCCCGCGGTGTACCGAGCAGACAAGAGGAACTTATCGTGGAACTGCTCTGGTGTGATGCCGTGCTCCTTACGATATGAAGACGAGAAGAGTTTGGTCCAGGTTCGATCAAACTCGATCAGTTCCGCAGCAGTCTTCTGTCGCTCTGACACATACGTCTCAAGTAACTCTGGCGTAGCTTGTCCTCGGATGACAGCTGCCAACTTCCAACCGATGTTATAGCCATCTTGCAAACTGACGTTCATCCCCTGTCCCGCTTTGGGAGAGTGAGTGTGGCAGGCGTCGCCACTTAGGAAGACACGGTAGTCTTTGTGGAAGTGGTCGGCAAGGCGCTGGCCAATAGAGTAGGCAGACCACCACGCTGTTTCGGCTACTTCTAGATCGTACGGACGAAGAATTAGCCGGAGCTTTTCATGAAGCTCTTCTAGCGTGACGTCTTTTGCAATTGCACCCTTCAGCTCTATGTAGAAGCGAACCAGCAGGTCTCCCTCTCGAGGTATGATGATCAGGTTACCTGCTGGCGACTGAATCATAGCCTTCTTGCGGATGTCGGGGAAGTTGGTTCGGGGATAGATATCCATCACTCCCCAGACGCTATCGCTCGTGTCGCCGACCATCGTAAAGCCAAGTGATTTCCGGATAGCGCTGTGAGCTCCGTCACTGCCCTGGTATGTGCGTTAGGGGTTATAAGAAATGCTAATGACATAATTGCCTATATAACAGAAATGGATGATGTCTTACTAGAACATATTTCGTACGGTATTTCCGTTCTGTTCCATCCTTCAACACTGTCACAGTAACGCAATATGCATCAGGATCCCGCGCGCTCTCGCTATCAACCTCTACGCCCAAGACCTCGCAACCATACTCGACGCACGACCTTCCTGCCGCACTCTCCATCTCGTTCGTGAGCAATTCGTTCATCCTAGCCTGGCCGAGGAGGACATGCGGTAGATGGCTTACACCGGGCAACCTATCGGCAGCGTAATGCGTGCGCCTAATTTCGGTGCCACCATCTTCCGGAGCCCAGAACGTTAGCTCGGAGGCATGGTAGGCTTCGTTGAGAAGTGTATCGGAAAGTCCGAAGCTCTCGAATATTTCCGTCGTTCGGCACTGAACCCCATCGGCTTGACCCCTTTTGAGCGGCCCGTCCCGTTGTTCCAGGATCCGGAAACGGATACCGCAGCGGGCGAGCCAGACTCCGGCACATAGACCGGCAGAGCCGCCACCACAGATGAGCACGTCTACTTGGTCTCCCATGGTTGAGATGAGTGTGTAATCCAATGTGTTCGGATTAATATAATTATATTGTCTATAGGTAAAGTACTATATATATTCATAGAGATGTAGCAATAGAATACATGTTGTAACGTCAACGGACACAAGACGAAGACTGGACGGACTCCAACCTGCATGAAATGCGGGGGAGACGGCCGTTGGGAGCACAATAGAAGAAGGCTCTTTTGCCGTGTGAGGGTTATCTTCAGCCCGTAACTATGCCTTACTCAATCCGCGAGATATCTTACCTATCTATTAAACTGTTGGCGTGTTTATACTTATTAACAACTTAGTTATAGAGTTTCGGGATTCAAATTATAATCTCCTACTTCGGAGTTATATACCCACGTAACTAACTCTTGTCGCCGAAACTTTACTCCGAATACCTACTGTTTATCTCCGTGGCAGCTGGAATTCCGTCGGCGCCACCGATTCTTGGCTTATGCTCAAGCTAGGTATCACGAGGTGGACCTAGAAAATATGGAAAGGATCTTGTTGTCAGTTAAAGTAAATAATTAATGTAGGAATTGTACGAAGTATACGAGATAGATTTATATGATAACTTCTTAATATAATGCCAAGATAATGGGAATTGGCACGTCTTGATTACAGGAGCGACTTCAATTGGATTGGCGAAAAAGTATAGATCAAGTGCACCGAAATATTTTGAGGTGGGAATGAGCCTCTTCACCTTTATTTTTAACATGGGCCGTTCGGAACAGAGAGACCCACTTAATTCCCGAAGCCCAAAAAAGCTCCGGAAAGGGGCAGACCGTGCGACCGGCCAGCCCGGCTTCATCGGTTAATGCAGGTACTAGCCTTAATAAGCCCGGCCAAACGGGATATTAAATTAGAATAGGTGGTTGAGTCAGGGGCGCTTTTTTAGCCTCACCCTCAGTAAGCTTTTTTAGCCTCACCCTCAGTAAGCTGGCGCTGTCGGCGAGGAATAAGAAAAGACTCAAAGTGGATTACATCGGCCCGTGTTATTTTCGTCACCTAAACGTCACTTTTACATTTTTTATATTTCCTATTTCCACATGCTTTCATCAGCAAATAATATCTTTTATAGGAGGCATCGAAGTTGTCGAGGTCATCGGATCCAAACTTGAACTAGAACAATTCTCTGCTATCTCGTGTATGGTTAACCCATCATGGCAACGAAACCTTCAATGAGTAATACCATTAGGGCAAGTCATCGTTTACTGACCAGAAGCTCAGTTGCGTTACCGAACCCTCCTAGAATCGACCATCTACAATACATTCCCCGTGGCTTACGGCAAGCCAGCACGACCACCCAAAATGGCCGTAAAAAGGAGAGAGTGGTGATTCTGGGTTCTGGATGGGCTGGCTATGGCTTCGCTCGCAGTCTCGACCCTAAGAAATATGAGCGTATCATGATTTCTCCTCGATCATACTTCGTCTTTACGCCTTTACTTGCAGGTACTGCGGTCGGCACTTTAGAATTCCGTGCTGTCGCAGAGCCTGTCAGGAGACTCGGTCTAGATCAGTTTCATCAGGGGTGGGCCGACGATATTGACTTTGCGCGTAAAGTTATCCGCGTAGAGGCTAATACATCAGACGATATCGCCTCGAGAACCCGCCTGGCTATTAAGCATCGTCCTGACAGCGCCGATAAAGGCGCCCTATTCGACGTCGAGTATGACAAACTAGTCATTGCCGTCGGTTCGTACAGTCAGACGTTCGGTATTGAGGGTGTGCGAGAGCACGCTAATTTCTTACGGGATATCGGCGACGCTAGGAAGATCCGGATGAAGGTGCTGCAGAACTTCGAAAAGGCGGCGCTCCCAATTACGTCCGACGAAGACCGGAAGAAGCTACTCCATTTCGCGATTGTAGGGGGCGGTCCGACCGGTATAGAGTATGCCGCCGAGCTACACGACTTAATACGAGACGACCTAACAAACACCTACCCGGATCTAATGAAATTCGTCAGTATTACTGTGTACGATGTGGCACCGAAAGTACTCCCGATGTTCGACAAGACCCTAGCCGACTATGCTATGGACCGGTTCAACCGCGAGGGTATCAAAGTGAAGACGGAACACCACTTGACACGCGTCCGGCCCGACGAGGACTGTGAGGGTTGTCTGAAACTAAAGATCAGGGAGTGCGGCGAAAAGGAGATCGGTGCTGGCATCGTGGTATGGAGCACGGGGCTGATGCAGAACCCACTCATCCAGAAATTGGAGAGCAAAGTCTTTAAAATGCCGGGTTCGGATGCTGATATGCAGCTGCAGAAGGACGCGAAGACGGGTGGTATTACTATAGATGCGAATCTCCGCGTGAATATGATTCCACATGCTGCCACATTGGAGTCGGTTCCTACTCAAGGGCAAAAGGCCACCCTATTACCTGACGTTTACGGTATTGGCGACTGTACGGTAATTCCAGGGATGAGTCTACCCGCTACGGCGCAAGTTGCTAGCCAGCAAGCAGCGCATCTCGCGAGGAGGTTGAACAAGGGCGACGTAGATCAGAAACCCTTCGAGTTCCGCAATTGGGGTACCATGACCTATCTCGGCAGCTGGACGGCTATTCACCAGAGCGGTGCCGACGAGTTAAAGGGCTGGATGGCCTGGGTCCTATGGCGTACCGCGTACCTGACACGAAGCATGAGCATTAGGAACAAGATCACGGTACCGTTTTATTGGGCTATGTCGTGGATATTCGGGCGGGATATTTCTAGGTTCTAGGAAACCTCTTGTGGAGACTGCCCCCCTTGATTCCTTTTTCTACTATATCATACACCCTTATCTCCCCTTGTAACAATAGCATAGAAACATTAGACTTGGGGAACGGATTTGTTCGGGACTAACATAGATCTTATGGGTTGTATAATACCAGGCTGTTACTAGTAGAATGCATATTTGGTCTAGATTGGGGCGGAGGGTTCTTGGGAAAAGCAGGTAACCGGCGAAACAACTAGATTCATTCAATATAGATCCATGACACATATTATACCACAACCGTTAAGAGACCTGATTTTAAGAGAAGATAGATATATGGAAGTAATGATCGACTACTTGATGAATACTTGAGGGAATATGAGGAAATGTACCACGAGAACTATCGAGGCATAATAGAAACGTGAAGTCATCCCAGTGCTTGGAGTTTTCTATATCTCCGTACAAATTCCGACTAGCTATCCAGATAAATCAGTTATAAGTAAGAAATTTCTGTCAGAAAGTACACCTCCCGACCCGGTCCCTTCATACCCGTAACAGATAGTCCAACTATTAGAATGAAATTCATCGTTTCAAAAGTATTAGCAGCATCCCTTCGACCACATTTTCCCACATACCTGCACATTGATATCGCTCGAGAATCCCATAATTTCAGTCCTCATCTGATTCTTCTTTCCTAAATCCCATCACTAGTAGTCTTTGGGCGAGCGCTTGATTCTAATTCGTGGTCGGTCAAGATCATCTGCGGCCTGCCTTAGACTATTAGCCTGTGAACTAAAGAACAGGGCAATGGTGGACTGTTACTGAACGCTTGGAATGTCCCGTCAATGGTGTTAGGGTGATGTTCTCCGGCATCGCGATTTTCATGGGGAAGAATTCGTCAAGTTCCTGGTGCATAATAACATCGGCATCATTCGGTTTTTCGAAGATATTACGATTGAGAGTGACAACGTCAATCGTGCCGTCGGCGGTGCCGTTAGGCTTGGTCACATTAAGTCCATCAAGCACTGCGGAAAGCCAGGTTAATAATTACTCTAATAGTCAAGGATGTGCTACAAGGCTGCGAGTTACTTACGATGGTACCAGGGGGAAGGTCCAGCAGTCCTACTAACTGGTCGCTCGTCTGTTAGCCGGTGATAAGAGACCACAGGGGACCAGCTATATAATTCACATACAAAGCAAGCACCACAGCACGTCAAGGAACTTAATAGAGAACCAACATATGGAAACTTTGCGACAACTGATGTAGCAGCCTCTAGAAGCATCTGCCACCGAAACAAGCCAGTATTCTTGCACGAACTCGGGGCTAAGCTTCTCTTTGATGAAGTTGAAGGCCTTTGTGAAATCAAATTCCGTGAAATTAAGGACGACGCTGGCAACGCCTGCTCGAGAAGCAGCCTGGCCTAGAGTCATGGCTTCTCTCGAATGGAACCAACCTGGAGAAGATAGGACCGAAGACTGCATCGTGTAGACTGCAGAGTTGAGTTCGATAAAAGCATGAGTGAAAGGAGAAATTCAGTAGGAGAAGCTTACGTCTGGAAAGTCGAATATAAAAGGTGCAAAAGACCCGGTCTACTATCCGAGGAAGATGCGTGAAAAGTAGTAGAGCAACCATGGCTAACCGTTCACTACGAAGCGTAATACAGACTTATTAGAAAAACATCGCCAGATCAGCTGGATGCATCATAACTACGTCAGCAGCTAGGTTCATAGACATATAATTACACTGATCCTACCGCGCAAGGAGAGCGTGAATTTTTCCGAGGGCTCGTGCTTCTGCTCCCTTCGTATAACCCTCAAGAATATGATACGATAGTCATCAGCTATTCGGCACATTACATCTTCATAACGGGGTTTCTTCAACATATGGTATTTCTATCATTTCAAATCATGGATAAATATTAATACCTAGCCAATATTATACTATATATGCCAGATGTACTATAAATCCTATGAAAGGCATCTTTTAGTAGTTTGGCTTTTCAACTGAGGAAATTGTAGATGAGCTTTTGGAGCGTAGCTATTGGGGATCGAATTCACAAACTCTAGATCCCGGATATCTGAAAAATTCACAATGCATGAGATAGTAGTTATCACCCTCGGGGAAGTCCTATTACGGCTGAGTTGTATGACCCCAATATAGAAAAGTAAAGTGATCGACTGAAGGATTAGGAGGGAGTAACCTAATTAGGGGATGTAACGAGAAAAGATTGATTATATAATACAGGCTGAAAGTCAACTGAGGCGGCTGGATGTGTGACGACTTCGCATAGACTTTTTTATTGGTTGCTTGTCTTGACTCAGGGGGTGGTTGTGCTGGGAGTTGGGTCGGCATTAGCCTTTATCTTGGCAGCTTAACTACCACTCGCTCGAACACATCTATTCCGTTGTAAAATGTATTCTATATTAAAGCCAATCGCGAGTAGCATTCGCGATAGATCTGGTGGTCGACCACGCGTACAAGAAATTCATAACAACATGAGTCGTGAACTTCTCAAGTCTTTATTTAGCTTTGTTCTAACTTAGTGGGTAGGCGCTATATTATCGGCCATCTTTGATTCGTTGGATTTTATTGGCGGGACGCGATAGAGGCGCAAAGTTTCAAAATCGTGCAGCTTTTGGTAATGACTAGCTGATGAACCGTTGAGGATATGTACCTTACCTATATTGATATTGTTTCCCAATCATAGGAACGTGACTGGGAAATTCGTGACTATTTTTACTCGTATGAGAAGTTACTTAATTCATGAAGCAAGGATCTTAATTATTAATGTATTATGCTCGGTATACCTTTCAAAGGACGGACTTACATAATATGCAAAATATTCTAGGGCGCTTAGAAATTACGTATGTAGTCCTGTACACAGGTACCTAGCCTAATAGGATGTGGGGGCGATATACATGTAGGTTTGTACGTACCTGCAGTTTACAACAACTCAGCCTTGTAAATTTCTTTCCTCGGAACAAAAACTTGTTGAATTCAAGGTTTCTTAGCAAATTTTAGGAATTCTTTTCTTTCAAGCTGCATCATACCTGTCAAGGATAAGTCACTGCGTATCAAGGTTAGGTACAACCATTTGCGCATCCACCTCTAGTGTCGTTATCCAAAGGGTCCAAGGTCTAAAAACTGCCCCGCCAAATATTTTCCTACTTCAAGAACCAACCCACTTTACCTCTACAGCCATAATCTCTGCAAAGAAAACACAAGGCTATCTGCTTCATTCCGACGACTACTTTTCACAATGGCGTCACCTGGTCCGGGTGCCGGTAGTGATGATATCGACTTGTACGGTAAGTTGTCCGCTTGCTTGTATCGCGACTTTACATCCGCAGAATTTGATTGCTGACTCAACAACCCCAGAGCTTCTCGGCGTTGACAAGACTGCAAGCCAAAATGACATAAAGAAGGCTTACCGAAAGGTGAGGAACCCCCGCGTCTGCCTTGATTTCGCGCGGAACATACTGACTGAATTGTCATATTCTAGCTCGCACTCCAACATCACCCCGATAAAGTTCCCGAAGACCAACGAGTAGAGTCTGAAGCCAAGTTCAAGTCGGTTACTCAAGCCTACGAGATTCTTCGAGATGAGGAAAAGCGTGCCTTCTACGACAAGCATGGCATGGCAGCCTTCGACCCATCAAGGGGAGGAGGCATGGGCGAAGAAGTAGATATCAACGATATACTTGCTCAAATGTTTGGCATGGGAGTGGGCGGTGGCATGGGAGGTCCCGGAGGAGGACCCAGAAGGCCCAGGCGCGGCGCTGACGAGGAGTCCAAGTACTCCGTCAGCCTGGAGGATCTCTACAAGGGCAAGACTGTCAAATTCGCAGCCAACAAGAACGTCATCTGCGGGACTTGCAAGGGAACCGGTGGCAAAGAGAAGGTGAAGCCCCAACAATGCGATCGCTGCAAGGGACATGGTATGGTAGAGGCATTCCGACAAGTCGGCCCTGGTCTGGTCACTCGTGAATCGGCCGTGTGTGATAGGTGTCAAGGCTCTGGCAACTACTTCAAAGAGAAAGATCGATGCAAGAAGTGCAAAGGCAAGCGGACCGTCCCGGAGACGAAGCCGCTAGAGATCTATATTCCTCGTGGCTCGCGCCAAGGGGAGCGCATCGTGCTGGAGGGCGAGGCTGACCAGAACCCCGACCAGACCCCTGGCAACCTCGTGTTTGTCCTCGACGAAGAACCCCACGAGGTATTCAACCGGATCGGTAACGATCTTTCTGCTGACATGGATATCACTGTTGCCGAGGCCCTATGTGGGTTTTCTCGTGTTGTGGTCCAACATCTTGATGGTCGAGGTATCCATATCAACCATCCTCGAGGAAAGGTCCTACACCCAGGACAGGTACTTAAGGTGCAAGGAGAAGGAATGCCGGTGAAACGGGGAGATGCCAAAGGTGATCTGTATCTTGTTGTTAAGATTCAGTTCCCCGAGGACGGATGGCTCAAGGATGATGCGGCCTACGAATCTCTTCAGAAGCTACTGCCTGGCCCGCCACCGGAGATCAAAGCTGATGAAATCGATGACGTTGCATACGAAGACGATGCGGATATTGATGAGGTATGTCATATTCCTTGCGTTACGGATAAGAGTAGAATATACTGACTTTGTATTAGATGGGTGCCAACTCTGGGGATCCGCGATTCGGAGATGGATGGGAAGATGACGATGACGAGGCCGGCGGACAAGCACAATGTGCCCAGCAGTAATGAATTATGAGACATGAGCTTCGATTAATAAAGAAGACTGGAAACAACGTGAAGGCGGGTCAGGGTTACGATGAGGCATAGGTATTCCTCCATCATTCGATTTATTTGTGTAACCGAGTTATGGAGAGGAGTGGAAATAGGATAGATGGCAGCAAGAAAGATCCTGGAAGGATTTCTTCCCTAGAAGGAGAATTAATGGCATTATCTCCTTTCGACATTTCCAATGGTAATTCTGAATTGGACCCCTCCGACTAGGTGGAGTTTCTTATTATTAGATAGTCTCCTACCTTAGATATTCAGTAGCTTGTATAGACCAGACATCCATCTCTGGGTGGTAAATTGCTATCGTGGTAATTTGCAGGCCCTGAAATGAAGGCAGTGTTATATTGAGAGATGATAAGACCTAAGTGAACTTGAGTTGAATTGAAGTGAAATATCGGTTAAATAGAATGGAATTAATTCCGTATCTAATGTAGGCTTGAGGCAGAGAGTTGGATCTCTTGAGAAATTACCTAAAGGTTGTGATGTACCTCTCTGGTCTAATTGGGTACTTGGGTACATAAACTTTGAGAGAGGTAGGTAAGCCACTTGGGGCTGAAAGTGGGTGAATGGTTCAGGTGGCTAGCGCTAGGGCCAAGCCGAACCAAAACTTTTCGACCCCACTGATTCTACACCAAAGCTGTGGGACTTTTCAATTATCCACACGTGATAAATTTCACCAACCCTAACAAAACCCTTAGCGCAAAATTCGGCTGTTGTGCCCATTGGAAACTTTCGGTCCCTCTACACGTAACGTACCTCAATTTTTGCGGTAGAGACCAGCAGCCCATCACCATACACCCACCCATCTCGACACCTACAGGAAATCAGTCAAGGTAAATAAACCTCTACTGCCATTGCGGCTACACTACTTTTTTGTCAAAGATAATTCTTAGCTAACAATTATTCCCTCAAGATGGTTGCCGCCAAGAAGCACGTCCCGATCGTCAAGAAGCGTACGTTCGACTCTTTCCCCGTCACCTTTCCTCGATTGATGCGATGCGCTCCGGTTGTGGATCGAGGCTATGGATGATGAAATAGTGAGGGAGAGATATTGACGGATTTTATTTTATAGGAACCAAGAGCTTCAACCGCCACCAGAGCGATCGGTTCAAATGTCTCTCCTCTAGCTGGCGCAAGCCTAAGGGTATTGACAACCGAGTCCGACGACGATTCCGTGGCAACACTGCCATGCCCTCGGTACGTGCGATTCCTTGTTTTAGATATTCGCCCTCGAAAATATCTCAAGCTATGAATATTTAGATGTGGTGATAATTAGGTGGGAGGAGTATTATGCTAATATAGATTTTGCGATATAGATCGGTTTCGGCTCCAACAAGAAGACCCGCCACCTCACACCCTCCGGCCACAAGGCCTTCCTCGTCAACAACATCAAGGATGTTGAGTTGCTCCTGATGCACAACCGCACCTTCGCCGCAGAGTACGTCCCTGAAAATTTGCATCGAAGGGTGGTTCCGACCCGGATACGACTAGGTTAACTAATAATATCATAGGATCGCCCACAACGTCTCGTCGAGAAAGCGAGTCGACATCATTGCCCGAGCGAAGCAATTGGGTGTCAAGGTCACCAACGCCAAGGCCAAGGTCACCACGGAAATTTAAGGCGCTGGCGGCTGATGAGGATGACTATGGAATTGGGGTCCGGTTTCTCGTTTTCGGCAGTACTTTGCATGCATGGGAAGGGTTTTGCGCTCTATGGTCTACGGACGGAACATTCGAGCTAGCATGTATTTCGTGCTAGGAAATACAACACGCCTTCTGCGATGACACGTATTTTGGCCTACTTTGACCGATTGCATCCTACGCGACTTCACCTGATCTACGGCGTTGGCCCAATCACGGCCTAACATTACCAGGTATTGACAGGGGCTACAAGTCATACCATGACACGTGTAGAGGCTTTATCTGGCATCACTGATTCGATGATGAACATCATATGAATAGGGCAAATATCATTTTCATATGTCGTGAGGCAGATCCCTAATTTACATGCGTTCACCCATGGAACTCTTGAACTTTGTGCTTGAGTAAGCCGATAATTTCTTCAACCCAATACTTTGACATCTACAAAATACAGTAGTGTCATTATTACGACAGTGGTATGTATTTCATCAAGCTTTTCTCCGGTCCTCCACTTCCCTGTTATCCTTAGATCGTAAACCATCATACGGGGCAGGTTAGGTTGATGATTGGGCTGGAAGGATCAAATCACATTGTTCCCCGGACTCTTTGCGCCTGCATTCTAGATATTTAGTTCAGGCTCAGGTACCACGGTGCCGGGGCGGCCTGAACAAGATTCCTGTAAGGGACGGTTGCTTGATACCATTGCTCAGAAGGGAGGTTACGTTTATATGCGAAGAAAACAGACAAGCTACACCTACACTACCACCCAGACAACCGTTTATCGGTTTACTATCGTCGGTTACCAACTCACCCAACAGGGACATCTTATCATCGATTATTTCCTCAATATCACTACCATTTGAATCCCATGCCTACCTCGTAGGACATACGGCACTTAAATACACAAGGGGTTCTGGGTATTATACTGGCATAAAGGGTTTCAGGCATCCACGTAAGACCTCTATTCTTCTATCAGTTCCTAAGTTTAGCCAAGCAATAAAGAGCACTTAAAGGGGCTTATATGGCCAGGTAAGGCTCAACTACTTCATACAATCTAGGTAGTGTCCTAAATCAACATCGGCTAACGGCTTTGTAGGAGGCAAATGTTAGTTATTAGGCATAACTACATAGACTTTGTTTGGTGCACAAGCCCCTTTCATGGCCTACCTTCTATATCACTCCTGAGACATATATAGGTCTTACCTTTAATGACCTTTCTCCAGTGTACTTTAATAATCATTCACTATGGACACCTTATCTACTGAGCACCATACGGTTCCGACAATTTTCTTATAGACCCAAGGTTGCCCCTTCAATATTCAGACATCCATACATCAGCTCTGGTCCTGACACATTCACACCTATCCTGCTATCTGGAGTCAATAGTTTCACTAAGCTAAACAGTCCGATGTTAATGTTTGCGTCGACCGTGTCTTGTCAAGTTCAACCTAATCATACTATTAGACACTGTCATATTAACTTCAGAGGCGAAAACTAGCATCCCAAATCACTATTTAGCCCATTTTACGTCTTCTCTCTCGCCACATCAATTCTCAACTCTCTCGACTATTGTGACCTGAAGACACAAAGAAGACTCGATTCTCGCAGGGGTTCTTTTAGCCTACTATCATCATCTATACAAGAACATCTTTGCTTATCGACCCTATCTTTGCCTTGCAAGCTACGACACGGGAAATTACGTGAATTCTCACTCCCTATTTGCTTCAATATGGCTATTCACCACGGTCGCGTCGCCTGCAAGGCAACACCATCCCGATCTGTTGCTGTCGTAGTAGCCTCCTATGGAAGCGATGGTCAACTACGAACCACCATCATATCTGGTATTAGCCAGCAGCGCTCTTTGGATCTCGACGTTCCCGACGAAGGAGTCTATATCATCTACCAAGACCGAGCTATCCAGATTGCTGCTCCGCCTTGCGACAAAAGGAAATGCAATGCATCTCACATCTGCCGTTGTGACACACCTCAGTTCTCTGTTAAGGGATCTCTATTTAGCCGCCACAGCATCAAACGAAGAGTAGTGGCCTGGCCGGTGTGGAAGCCCTGTCTATGCTGTTTGCTGAATTGGCTTCGCCTCTACCAAGCTGCCGAAGCAGTAAACCGACACAACCTACAATTCCTTCGACACCCAAGAACCCTTACGTGGACTAGCTTATATGGCCACCAGGCTTTCCACTACGATGCCGAGCTAGAGGAGAGATCTGTTCGGTCCAACTATAATGGGACCTCCAACAGACCTACTAACCCAAAGTCATACTGCCCGCCCCGTGTGTTTGAATGGATGAAAGAGACGTGGAGTGAATTTGTAGACAGCGGATGTTGTAAACCTCGTTCTATTACAACTCTATCGGACAACGAAGACGGTACCTACAACGAAAGTGTCTTCACCAAAGAACAAGATGGTTCAGAGACCGACTCAGATTGGGATGACCTCGATATGCCCTGTGTACCTTCTAGCACATCCGATAACACGTCGAATGAAGACTACGATCTCATCGATGATCTTATCGAGAAGGAATTTCCAATGTTGCGGAAGAGCGACACAACTATCTCAACAAAGGGAGATCTGCCTTATTCATCAAAAAAGGACAACGGCCCTGACGAAGAGAGAGATGATCCAGCACCTGTCGTTATTCCACCGAAGAACATGACAATGGCGCGAGGCTTTGTGGCAGCAACAGGGTTAGGGAAGCCAAGCCCAGCACAACTAGGCAATGATAGCTCGGTGTCAATCATCGACTCCAAGTGTACAAAGCCACAGACAGGTGCTCTGGGTACCAAACGGTCTTATTCAACTATTGTAGAGTCGGACCAACGCAGCCCAACCCCCGCAGAGGACCTGTCTCGTATAAAGCAGCGAAAACGAGAAATCGCCAAACCATCTATCAGAAGCCGCCACCGCTATAGCCCTGTGATTCACCAATCCTTCCCACACCTCAAGCGCATTCCACAGAGGATCCTTGTTACTTAACCCTAAAGGGGCTGGCGGTTCTATGGCGAAGGGGAAATTGAACCATATTTATTTGCTGTACTAGTATTAATTACGGTTATCATACCAGATTGCAAAAGCATCTTAACGGGCAAAAGAGCCAATAACCATCATTCGTTTGGAATTCCACTACTTTTCCCTGGTTCTATGTGGTGTTAATCAACCATTAGGAGGTTTTTGGATAATGGGCGCGGCTATCCCCGGCTTTCCCCGGCTCTCCTGAGTTAGCTACAGGCGAACAGAGAGTACTCTACAATAACATGGTAATGACACCTGCGCACAACGTATGGGTGTCTAGTCTGCATACATCAAGACATCTACTTGAATATCATAAGAAGGGTCTTGGGGTTGTTTACAGTAACTACTATCGATAATGTAATGTAACCTGATTCTCCCTGATTCTCCCTGAACCTAGGATCAAAGCGCTAACCCCCTTGTAGCAGTAACTCCCTACAGGAGATAGCAGAGAATATTAGGGGACTTGGGTCAGCGAGGACGGAGGTTTCAGGGGAAGTTTTATTATTAGGATACTAGCGTAAACATGGACACGTGGGTTGAGAGCAAATCTCAAGCATATGGGACTTTCATTTGTTGTAGCCCGTTAGTATATGTATTACATGACAGGCAGGAACTCTTGTCCCCAGTACAGTATGGAGATCAATAACTAAACTATTCTATTTACCGTATCGTAATTGCCTTGTTCACAAGTGAGAAATACGTAGACAAGCTAAGGCTAAAGGCCATAGGCAATGATAGACTGGAAAGCGCGACAATTTTCTGAGTACCTCGCTACTCTTGCCTTGCCTTAGAGCCGTGAATGGTGTTAACACTGAGTCACGGCTCACAAGATATGGACAATGTGCCTGAGACGGAAAGCGCCAAGTGCTAAAGGGGTCATGAAGCAACTTAGGACAAAGCTGTTAGGGGTTGTTAGGGGTTGTCTAGGGCAGTAGAACCGTAAACTACAGACTTGTGATATTCCTTGCCTATTAATGTAGCCAGTAGTCACGGCAAGAGCGAAGTCCTTGTCTTTGTATCCCCTTAGGTACTGTAGTACTTTTAGGTACGTATTGTCACTGTATGTAGGTTGTCTTCCTCTTCCAGTCGTTGTTGCTTCTTGTAAGGTGCTTACTTGGGAATGGGACGTGCATATACCCAGGTACACTGGTTCAAGATACTTGCCGGCACCTGTCAGACGCCGATATTATTGGCTGAAGATATGAACTGCCGTTTTCGCCTCAGGTGGAAGTCATCTCGTGGTGGTCCGAGCAGATGTACATACAGATATACTTGAACTAGCGCCAATGTGTGCCTTCTATTTACCATAAAATAGCGCGAGATCCGTGCATTTGTACCTACGATAGCCTCAAAAACGAGCAGGAGCGACAAAGTAGATCGTCGAGTCACCTAGTAACCACGCCTAGAATACTGCCGATCTGGGCAAGACACCGCCTCTGGAAATATCTTTTTTTTCTTATAAATAACTGGGCCCCCCTCCCCCCTCCCCCAGTTTGTTCTCTTTCTGTTCCATCATTCACACTCATCAACAACTTCAACACTCTTACTTTAATAACAACTAACAACCTTAAACTAACACCTATACCTACCTACCTAACTTAACATACACTTCGAGGATCGACATGCCCTATGAAGATTTTGCGTATGATGTACACTTACAACAAGCGATACAACAACATATACTTCATAATACAAACAATGAAGTCATCTAACTACCCCTAAAGTAATGGGGATTAAGGGTACGTTCATGCTTATTGACAAGGCAGTTTCCCTTTTCCACTATTATCTTCAACTCACCTTACTAAGATACTACCCAGCCCTCCAATCCAGTTTTTGTTTCTCAACAAACACGACTGGTGTGGGATAGCTAACGAGGCCCCGGACAAACCTACTACGAATGGGCCGGGCTTTAATATTCCGAGTAACCTAAACAACACCTTTCTCTTCCCCAGAGTACATGATAGAGTACATGATCACACAGGTGGAGATTTCTAATAAGTTTATTATAAACGGTATGTCTAAGTTTACTCTCCTCACTTATGGTCCTTTAGCCATCTTCCAAGTATTTCCCAGAGCTCTTCTGTGACTCATTTATCCTTTGAGGTCTTGACCAGAAACTTTCATTATCCCTTGCTTTTTTATCTCCTGTCTTAGTTGGAGTCCTGAACTAAACTTCATGTTAGGAACTACCTAATTATGATTTCCCTCTAAAATCGTGGTCCTATTTCAACAACAAGCACCACTATTATACGATTGTGCGATCGGCCACAGAAGGCCTCCCGTCATAAGTCTCGTCCAGCGACAGCACCGGTGCTAATACTCATCCCTAACCTAAACTAACAATTATTATCATCGGCGGGACCTTGTCGCCAACCCTGTTGCCGACTGGCCCAGCTGAGGGCTATTCCAGCCCCTGGAGTGGTAAGTACATTATAGCCACAGATTGTATATAAAAAGCGGAAAACTAATTTGAATAACCGTATTTAGATGCCATGGAGCTGTCCAGTCTGCGGCTCCGGCACGCCGCTCTGGCGTCGCCATTTGGCGTCGCACGTTACCGCGTGTGGGTGGCCAGGCTGTGGCCTGGTAGGCTTCGCCAACCTAAAGGAGGTGGCGGTACACATAAACGGTGTACACGGCCGAGGCGACTGGATATGCCCGGTATATAAAACTTCTTCACTTTCTGTCTTATCTCTTATCTCCCCTTTGGTGAGAGGTTATGCTAATTCTTCTATTTATAATTCAGGTGTACAACATCAACTATAATGAGTACTAAATATATAAATACCCTACAAGGCGGATCTCGTGCCTACTTACTACCAACATTTATATGCTCTTATGCCACCTTTAAGTTTAGTGAGAGGCAAATCGTTGTAAGTATTCTCCATCTCGTCTGGTTCCACTCCTTTCTAACTCATAATCAGGCCTATATTTCCACTCCTTTCTAACTCATAATCCGGCCTCTACTAACATTTCCCTTACCTAAGGATGAAGGAACCTAAATGAGCATAATCGATATAGGACCTGGAGATCCCCTACACTGGTTACAGTCATGTATAAACGCGCCATGCACACTGTGCCATTAACTCTATACAAAATCCTCTATGATAGACTTAATAATAGATATTCCAAATGTTTTTACTATCCCTACTATTCTAGATATAGGTTTATAGCTTTTTATGCAATGGTAGAATCTTTAAAATTTCTTTTTCTTAAATACGCATAGTTGGGACAAATCCAGACACCCATCAAAGTGCTGCCCCATACAAATAATGAATGTAATATGATCGAACTAAATCTATTGAAATAAGCTGCAATGTAAATAGGTGACATGACAAAAAAAATAGTACCTATGTACCTTCTGTTGTTGTACATCTCTAGCCTTTGTTGAATCTATCCATTTTTGAGATTACTTCTTCTATTTTCCTAGTCTCCATCTTCGAGAACCTTTAATTCATTACATTCTCAACATATATAAGTATTATATACGGGCTGATTAGCTAGAGATGGAACTGGAATATATAAACTCGAACCTTTAAATGCTATAGGGTTGAGCATCACTATCGAGGAACAATAGGGGTATTTAAAAGGGATGGTTACCAGACAGTAAGTTTATATAGGTAAATAAGGCATCCCACCCCTTACCATTGGGAGGTACGTGGGTCAAAATGATTGTCATTACGCTTATAAACTGGAGATTAGATAGACCCTTGTCGCCTTGCTTTATGCCTCCTTATGCGACATGACCTCTTTGGCACTTTACAGTAGGGACTTGGCTATTTGCGTAGTGAATAGTAGTAAAGATATGTTTTAGGTAGTCAGATAATTACAATACGTCATAGTTTCTAACCCTTGGTAATCACAAGGCGACACGATCACGCCTAGTATGGTTGAGCATAGACGAACAATATCGGGGATTGATAGCAAATAAGAAGAAATAGCAGAGAGGGGGGAATATAAAAATAGCGGCTTGTGGTTAGTCTAAGGAAGGGGTTTCGTTACATTAGATATATAAACTTCTCTTACACAAATACACTGTTCTACCCTCTTATATATTCCTGTAGGATGTTCCAAAGTATTCAAAGGGGTACTGATATATGATAAACTCCTCAAGATCTGGCTTAACCTTTTTAGAATTGTTGTAGGGACAGCTTATTTGGCATGATACCTAGGGAAAGCGCCAACAAAATCAGGGTATGGACCTATATTAAACCACCTGCTTTGGCATCTTGTGTTATTGCCATCGAGAGATCGGGGCTGTTAGTAAAGCATGCAGCATTGGTAGGTACCTTTTGTTGACACCTGTTTCGCCTTTCTTAAGGTGAATGCTTTTGTTTCCCTGCGTAAGGGATAAATTATGCTTGACCAGCTGGGCACATTACTGCCGTACCTGGCTTCGACGCCTGTTGGTGACGTGGTTGATCCGCCGTTGTTGTTACCAAGTTACGTGTTCTTAGGCAAACATTTTCGACCCCCCCCAAAATATTACTCTCAGCCGCTCTCGACACCACCGCCGCCGACCCCCTTTGAACTTGCAATGTTTACCACGTATTGCCGTTATTTATTCCCATCACTTTCGTTGCTGACCATCAACGTGATTGTTCCTAATTCATAGCCTACAGCCAACATCGTACAAGGTAGAAGAGACCTAAACGGCAAGACACCACAAAATGTCTTATTACTACCACGCGCCTACCCAGATTTACTATTACGAAAATGGCTTTATCCAGACCGCCGGGGGAATAATTTGTATGTGTGAGCCTTTTTTACGATGATGATTCTCTTTTAGCCATTATAATTACGAAGGTGTCTCTTAGAGGCAACTTACGCGTTGCTTTGCGTGAATATCGGTTAGGAGATACTATGGCGCTTCTGTTTCCTATTCTACGCTTTTATTTGCTTTTGTCCTATAATTAACACCATACATTTATTAGACGGTCCCGGCATTGCTCCCCCCAATATCCAGCCTATCAACCCGGCCTTCTTCGCAGCAGCTCAGCAGCAAGCTGTTCGGACTCAACAGCAAGCTGTCCAGGCTCTCCAGGCTCACCAGGATCACCAGGACTACCAGGATTACCAGGATTACCAGGATTACCAACATGCACAAGGCGACCTAGGGTTCACGTGTACTAATTGTGGCAATATCTACGTATCCAAGCACGGTCTAGTCCAACACATCATGTCTACTCACATTGGAACCGTATGTTTCTGGCCGGGTTGCACTACGACTGTTGCAACTGAGAAGGATCTTCTAGACCACATGAAGCTCAGCCACAAGCCCATTAAGCTCGGAGATGCATCGTACCAGTGTGCTTGGCCTGGCAGGGGAAATAATGCGCAACCGTGTACTGGAACCTTCACATCCGCGTATTCTGCTTTACGATGCTCGCGCTTTCATCAGTACTGCGCCATGGAGCGGCATGAGGCGGCTACTACACAATCCCCTATCTGAGGTAAGTTACCTATCCTTCTTTTCCTTAACTGTATGAGTGGCTATTGAATACTAACTTGGCCCAAGGATATAGCCAACCATGAAGTTGATGAGGATGACAAAGAAGAGGAGGGCACGAGGAGGGACGAGGAGGAGTCAATGTGTCAAAGCATCATTGCTATGAAAGAGGGAGATCACTGTCCACTGGACAGTTAGCACGATCCGCCTGCTATATCTACTTTTGCTGTTATCACTGGCTCTACATTCTATGAATTTTCCTTTTCCGAAGATTAATTGTGGATGAGAGGCCATCATCTTGTAGTTAGCAACTAGTAATAGTTGAATCTTCCCTTCTTTATGTGGCTATTTGGCCAACAGTGGGCACTTGCTAGGCGCCACCATTACTCCATACGTAAAATTAGACATTCTTCTCTCTTCACAACAACTAACTAAAATATCTTTAAAGTGAAAGTAACAGGGTCATATTCCAAGCCCATACCGTAGAGACTGTGCTAAGCGTATTGTCTCCCAGAGACTTTGTGATGTAGACAGGACATGGCCCGTCTCGGCTGTCTCTAATCAGTGAGACTTGATATTAGTACCTACATACCTAAGGTACTTGACTCAAGATACAACCAATATACTTAGATACAGGAGAAGCCCGTGCATTGACACACCTTCCCGAGCATCGTACTTTCTAGATTTAAATTTTCATGGCGGTGAAGTATCCTAAGGAAACCGCGTTTTGTATGTGACTCAGTACCTACCCCTATTTTTACCCAGCAACGACTACCGGACCGATAGAAGATGTAGAATACCTAGCTGTATTCCGCGCTAGTTGACCGACAAGTTTTGCCTGGCAGAAATACTTCCCGGTGTATAAAAGAACGCGCCCATCTCGCGCCCTTCACAATTTTCTTCCAACTTCTTTCTAACTCCTAAACTCTTAACTACTACTAACTTCTAATAACAACACAATACCTATCTACCTATTCATCTAACCGCCACAATCCCCCTCTCGTTTAACTCAACCTTTCTTCAGCAAAGGTCTAGGTAAAAGAGATGAGGATATAGGTTTGATAACTTAACAACAATTCATAACACCAGAGGTATGTTCAAACTCTCTTACCACCCCCCTTTGCTTTCTGCACTACATCTTCATGCAGTACACAAGGCTAGAGATCATAGCGATCTTGGTTGTCTTGTTGTGCTTCTTTAGCAAGCTTTGGTGAAATCCCCTTTTACATATACAAACACCCTCTCTTTCACACCAGCACTCATATCTACACTTTTCGCATTCTATCTACCTCTCCTTGAACATCATCACCTCTTTCTATCCTTTCGCAACTTCCTTTTCATATCCTCCACATCACATTTCTTCCCATTGCTGTTGCTCTGCTACCACTACCCCGCAACGCGATATACACCGCCTTAGGTGGGCAAGACAACCTCAGGATTTTAGTCTATTTCAAGGCGCACGTCCCTTCGTTCTTTCCCATCCCTAAAACTTACATTAGGTACTCAAACATATCTTGGACTGAAAGATGGCTAATTGAAAGATTCATAGATCCTATCCCCAGGACTCAACACATACCCCTAACCTAACATACACTCCAACTCCAACTCACCTATCTACCTAACCTCCCTAACCTCTCCTATCTGCCTAATCTACCTAATCTACCTAATCCAACTTATACATTATTCCCTAAGGTATGTTACTATCCTCTCTTTAGAATCTTGTCTACTTGGCGCATACTTTCTTCTTCACCTTGCTGTCTCTCTTCACAAGCATCTTGCGACGCGACACAACGCGTCTGGTCTGCCCCCTCAAACAACTCACTTCCTATCCCTTGCAAACACTTTTCATCATTTCATCTTTACATCACTTCCACCTTTATTCTTTCAACTTATCATTCCCAATGCATGAAAAGAATCTATGGCACTAACCTACATTTCATCTTAGTAACTTAAATAAGGCGTAAGTCAAGACAACCTTACTGGGGTCGCTATGGTTAGTTGAACAGGACACTTACTGACAAGCCATATCCTTTAGATTGAGGCGGTGGAAACTGCCTGCCAAGAGAAGTTGAAGGGTTACCTGAGGGAGATGGTAACATCAATGCAGAGGATGAAGTGCAACGGGCAGGTGCCTATGCTGGACGCAATCTGCGATGACGCCGGGATTAAGCTGTCGTCCAACACACCATCCCTGCTCCGCCTGCAGGTGTGGAAATGGCTACCTATTAGTTGTCCAAGGTGCTAGTCATCTTCCAATTAATTCACGGCTGGTGCCATGTTATAACTACTTCAGGTATGATATGTCTTTTCCTACATGTTATTATACATCAGGCCGGACCGACTCATTACCCCATCTTGAATATATCCTAGGTTACTAACTTCATATTTTTAGATGGCAATATCCGACTACAACCTTTCAACATCCATCAACCCAATATCCTTTGCCATACCATGGATGTGGTTTTAAGTATTAATCCATACAAGTTCACATAGCTGGAGAGGGGTGCTAACACTTTTCCTTAACAGGACCATGTTCCTTAATAGAACTATGCCTTAGCAAACAAGTCTTAACGCCCATTGGAAGCTAAATTTCCAATGCTGAACCTTTACCAAAACATGGAAAGGAACTCACCTCTCCAACATCTTTCGCGTCGGCGCCTTGCCCCCCCCCCCCCAATAACACTGGACAATCAACATGCTGCCGGTCTCTATTTTCCGTCTTCAACTTATAACTAAAACCCCTGACGCCATCATCAAGCAGCCGCATAACTAACATAAATATTCATAAATATTTACTTGGTTGGAATAAGCCTTATGGTAAACTTGAGACTACAGGTAAGTTGAACATCAACCTGAGCAATTTAGTACTGACTAATTTCTATTAGAACTATAATAGTATTGCGGCACAAATAACAGCTTATGGATCTACTCTAGACGCGTGTGGTAATTCTTTCTACAACGCCCTTAGCAGTCGGAACATCCTATTCAATGTAAGTTGCCCTTTCCACCCCGAGCTGAGACATCAATTCGAATGGATTACAATCTGACTAGGTATAGCTCTTCAACACAAGATGTCCCGTTGTGTAGAATTCCCCAAATACCTCTGGGACGGATTCAGACACTTGGCATTAGCGTCAATTGTTGTGCTCGAACGACTATTGTGGTCTTGGTGCGCAAGAACGGGCACTATCACCAGTCCAGGAATGCCATCACGTAAGTCTTCGTTCCCCTTACCTACCTGTTAAGAGAAGTCCTATTGTTAACGATTTTATTTTAATAGCTGAACCGCCCAGCGAATGGGCGTCAACTCCTCGGGAGCCTTCGACAATTGCCTGGAGAAGCGCGGCATTATCCCTAGAGGGGTTCTTCGAAAACTCCATTCACCACCCACCACGCGCAATTTCAGAAGCCGTACTGACGTCAGCCCTCGAATTATGGCTAGGGTCTCTAATATCATCGGCTCTAAAATATAAAAGCCAACAGCTAAGAGGACGAGAACAATACTTTCCCCTTGGTCTCGAAACAGAAGGGCCCGATTCATGGGTGGGATGCCAAATAAAGGCCGAAACTACGGTGCTGCTATGAAGAATGAGAAACGAAATGTTCGCTCTCGCCTCTTGAAGAAGCATCGAATGAGGGATCACAACGAACAGTCTAATTCTATCATAACCCTAAAGCCAGGAATCAAAATGGCCGCCAAGGAAATCAACAATCCCCCATACTTATACTCTTCAATCAACTCTATCACTACCCATACAACGCGGGGCTAGGTCGGCATACTACAGAACGCCTAAATAATAACTAAGCTAAATATTACTTCTTATATATCAAAGAAGCATAGTGCCCAATCGGCATATGCGAAGAACCAGGTCAAGACCGATGTTTGGCCCTGCCCAGGGGAGTGTGGAATGGAATATAAAAATTTTCATTCCATGCTTTGCCACATACATGTGGCCCAGAAGTTCACTGGAGAGGCGGCTGGGCTAAAAGAAAAGTCCAAGGAATATATATTACTCTAATGGTCAATATTGGTCTTTTAAAGCCGCTACACACACATTGCGAACACGCATATTGCCAGCACGCATGCGCATATTGCCAGCACGCATGCGCATATTGCCAGCACGCATGCGCATATTGCCAGCACCCATGGATGAAAGACTGGAGAGTACGATATCACAGTTTTTATTCCATGCTTCGCCACATGCGTGTGGTCCATGACTTCTTTGGAAAGTCGGCTGGGCTAAAGGAAGATCCAAGAATCTACGACATTCCATAACTTAGAATGTCGACGCAAACACTCTAATTACATAGACTCTCGCAACCAAGAGCTAGGTACCTACCTACCTTCGAACTATGTCAGATCGCAGAGAAATATTACAGATAGAACAGCTGTAGATAGTCTTTCATCGAAGCCTAAGCATGGTATCAGATAGGATAACATTACTACATAACTTATACACAGACTTTGAGATAATTATTCTTGTTTAAATTAATAATGGATTTCGTATGCCTCATGGAAATCTTGTGTTGTAGTCTCGAGTGTTGCATATGCGCATATTAAGATATGTATTTAGATAGCATGAATTTGGTAATGATATATGCATTACTCGAAGTGAAACTTTTTGCGCCCAATTCAAAGCACATCATTGGCGTGTAAGTCAAATCATACATTACTCTAACCATCACAGAAAATAATAAGGGAACTAATTCATGACGGGTCATGAGAGGTCTCTATATCATACGTGGTCCTCTATGTCGGCCCTTGTTGGCTCGCCCGCCGCAAGTTCTAAAGCGACACAAATTCTCAGGCCGGACCAAGCCGGCTGAAAAATCCAAGACTTCTCTCCCCAATACCCCGGCTAGGACGCGATTTGCGCCATCTCCAACTGGATATGTGCATATAGGCTCGTTGAGGACAGCACTATATAATTACTTGCTTGCGAAGGCCACCGGCGGCCAATTCATACTCAGGGTTGAAGACACGGACCAGGTGAGTTCGGAGTTGCTTTGCTGCTAGAATTGAACGATGGGTCGGTATTCTAACGTATCTCAGTCTCGAATCGTAGAAGATGCCGAGACGAGGTTATTCGAGGATTTAAAATGGGCCGGGTTGAGCTGGGATGAAGGTGCGAGATTTGCACTCACGTAGTAAACCACTCTTAATTCTCATTCATGATTTCTTATAGGCCCCGATGTTGGTGGGGACTACGGCGCATATAAGCAGGTATTCATTCTTATCACAGCTCACTACTTTATTGTCACAATACTAACCCTGTTTAAAGTCAGAGAGACTAGAGGTATATCACCAGCATGCGGAACAGCTGATAAATGAAGGCCTCGCCTACCGATGCTTCTGCACGCCCGAGGACTTGGATCAGATGAGATCCATAAACATTCAGGAGGGCAAGCAGCCCATCTACAACGGGACCTGCTCGCACATTTCTCCGGATGCATCCGCGCGTCGGGCAGCTAACGGCGAGCCGCATTGTGTACGATTCAAATGCGGCCAGCAGCCTGTCGTCAACGACCTCGTCTACGGATACTACAAGCAACCTACCGTAGAAGATGACTTCATCATTATTAAGCAGGACGGATATCCAACCTACCACTTCGCCAACGTCGTCGACGACCATCTAATGGAGATTACACACGTTATCAGAGGAGCTGTAAGTAACATCCCAGCGTGACCATGCGGTATCCATACGGAATCATGATTAACTTAGAGGGACTTAAGGAATGGCTAGTATCTACACCCAGACACGTAGCGCTCTACGAGGCCTTCGGATGGCAGATGCCTCTATTCGCGCACGTCGGACTCCTAGTCAACGAGGAGAGACAGAAGCTAAGCAAGCGCCATGGCGACGTCGACATCGCATCCTGGCGAGACCGCGGTATATTACCTAGCACACTACTCAACTACGTCATGCTGCTGGGCTGGAGCATGGGGAAGGGTGTAAAGGGGCAGCAGGAAGTCATGGATCTGAATGATATGGTCAAAAGGGTAAGTGGCACAGCGTCATTTGGACGAGACAAACTCTTATTCAAGCTGGGTCCTTGATAATGCAACATAATATTAACCGAGAAATATAGTTCCATCTCGGCTTCACCAAGGGCGACATCACAGTCAACAGCAAGCACGAGTACCTCCAAAAGGCCCACGTAAAACGTCTCGCCCAAGCACACGGCCCATCACACGTCTCCCGCATCCTCCTCCCGGCTCTCACATCCCGCGTGCAGAAATACGAAGACGCACGCAACGCAGACTCCGAAGACCCAGCCCCAGCCCCAGCCCCAGACGTCAACAGCAAAATCGTATCCGAGCTAGGCCCCATGGTCCCTCTCGCCAGTGACACCACCATCACCGCAACCATCTCCAAATCCTACCTAGACCAAGTCCTCCAGCTCGACATGCAAAACTACAAAGACGCCGAGACCTACGTATCCCGCAACCGGTTTCTAATCTGGCAAGTCCCCGAGTCGCTGTACCGCTCCAGTTTACAAGAGGAGACAGCGAGCGTAGATCAGATCTACACGGACCGAGAACTAGGGACGCCTGTCGAAGAGGACCTGCAAGAAGAAGAAGAAGAATACGATGATGAAGATGATGAAGAAGAAGAAGAACGGCAGGAGAAGGACGAAGACCGCTACCCGCAGACCGTCTCGGAACTCACGGCCGCGCTGCGCGATATTCTGGAGGCCTTGGAGGATTCGGAGTGGACTAAGACGGGAATCGAGGGTGCGGTATTGCCGTTCCTTAGGTCTATATACGCTACGTCGAAGACTTCCGAGCCTGGCTCTAGTTACCAAGAGCCGCAGCTCTGGGGGTACAATCTCCTACGCTGGGTCGTCGCTGGGTCGCGGCCCGGACCGTCGTTGATACCGAGTTTAGTGGTACTAGGCAAGGAGGAGACTATGAGGAGAGTGGAGGAGGCGTATGAGATAGCTAAGAGCGAAGAGGCTGAAGAGGTTGAAGAGGTCGAAGAGGCTGAGTTGGAAGCTTAAGTCAAGTCAAGTCTGCACGTCTTACTTATCGACTACAAGTCCAGACTACGCAAAAAAGGACAGTGGTCAACCAACTCATGGAACGAAAAAGAGACTCGTGTATATCAGGTACAAAGTATCCTGTACTCTGTATTACTATTCTTACTTTTTTATAATCAGCCCCCCTTTCCCATCCGATGCCGAAAACGCCGTCCAATGCTTCATGTCTCGTAATAGCGTCCATATGACGCATACCATATCATAACACTACAGAATTCACTTTATGGAAAACTTATCCCTGTGCCGTAGTAATAGTAGTAGTATCCGGAGCTGGATTTGTAGTGGTGGTAGTAGTATCCCCCAGCCCGTTGAAAATCTTAGCTTTCACTTCGATCGCCATAAGCCCTTGCTTCTCGTTCATGGCGACGGAGTGGCTTGTGCGGGCAAGCTTCTCCATCTCCGCATCGAGTGCCTTGCCTCCTGCACCGAGACCTCCCCTAGAGTTGCGCTGGCACGACAAGGTGGCCTCGCGGATTTTGGAGCCTAGGTCTAGCATTTGCTTGTCGCCATAGTCGCGGTTCGTCAGCAGCGGGTTCTGCGAAAGCGTCTGCACCCAGTATTTGCTCCACAGCAGCTCTAGTAAGCTCGAGTCTAGCGTTGACTTGAAATGTGATACTCCTAGACTGTAGTACTTGCTCGCGTGGGCGCCGAAGTCTTCAGCTTTGGATAGCGGTACGGCTTGGCCGGAGGATGAGGAAGTGGAGGGTTCGGTGGGTTGGTAGTTATCAGGGTATGTGCGGAAGGCACCGATCTCGACGCGGCCTGCGCTGATGGTACGGTCGGGGTCAATAACCACTGCAACGAAGGGATCGTTGAATTTCTGCTGCATGCTCTGCGTGCCGACGTCGATGCCGCTGAGCCAGCAGCCGTAGCCGGGGTGGCTGTGGTACCAACCAACAACGTTCTCCTGACGGCTACCTTGGTCGCGGGAGAGCTGCAGGTATTGGATCATGTACTCGTTGGCGTCGTCCTGAGCATTAACACGCGTCTCTGTGCCCTCGACTGGAAGACCAAAAGCATCCGTGATGACAATAGTATCGCCGTCCGTGTAGCCTTGCATCAAACCCATGACTTCGATAGAACCGCCTGATCTGGCGTGCATGACCATCTTGATGAGGGCGACGGCGCTGATGCGTACATGCTGGAAGTGGTTTGGGTTATCTTTCCAGGGCTTTGCGGAATTTACTTCGGTTTGGCGGTCGTCGGAGTAGTTGTAAAGGGCGTCTCGTACGGGATCGACGAGCTTGATGTCGTTATCGAGCTCTACGCGGGGTTGTTTGTTAGTATAATATTCTGAGAATTTGGGTATAGGAATAGGAGAAGGAAGCAGAATAAAATAAATGCTTACCCCACGATCTCATTGCCACCTCCATCTTGACTGCTTAGGTTTATTGTGATCGCTAACAGTCAAAACTCGCAGATTGATATAAGTTTGTTGGAAGGAAAAGTGCTGCTGTTAATGCGGAATCGTGAACTGTATGTAGGATGTAGGCAGTAACGTGGGGTTAAAGATAAGAGATAAGAGATAAGATAAGCTTCGATAAAGATTGAGCTATTTGCTGCATATATTCGTGCAATGCATATCTAGGTATACCTATATTTATGTAACTAAGAATCTTTAAAGCTGTAAAAGTTCTTATCGATAACACCTCAAATTTCGAGCCTCATCAAGGATCCACTTCTTGTTCATCTTCAAGATCGCGCAGTTGAACTCTGGGGGAGAGACCACAACTGTTACATCATGACTAGATCTACCATAGTAAGGCCGCTACGGCAGGTCTTGTCTAGACCATTGGTGAGTTCCCCGGGCAATAAAAATCTAGAGCAACTTAATTGACATCCCAAAGGTCCAACCACCGCGAAATACCCTGGCAGGTATCGTGAGCGCCCGCACGCAAGCCTCGGTGTAAGGCTCGACTTGCAGTCCGAACGGGTCAATGCTTTCCAGTTAACTAACTTAATCCTCAGAGCTGATCCCACTACTGCTTCAAAGTCCGGGCCTCCCCAACTCGTGTATGTATACGGATTGGACCTCTCATACAATGCGCAATGACTTATGCGATTTCCAGAAACGAGTTACCAGATCCCCGCGAAGAGAACGAGGTCCGACTTCCCAGGGCCGTCCAAGCCCTCTACCTCCAGCCCCTGCGACGAGAAGCCCAATATGGAGTCCCCTCGTGCGACTTACAGCTGCGGTCTTTCAGCATACCCAACCTCGAGTTCTTCTGCGACTTTGCGCTCCGAGCCGCATACTACCTAAACCTCCCGGCATTCGGCCCGGTACCTCTTCCTAAGATCATCGAGCGATGGACGGTACCAAAGAGTCATTTCATCTTCAAGAAGTCGCAGGAGAACTTCGAGAGGGTCACAAGGAGGAGATTGATCCAGATTAGGGACGGACATCCCGAGACGGTGCAGATCTGGCTAGCCTACCTACAGAAGCACGCATACTACGGTATTGGTATGAAGGCAAATGTGTGGGAGTTTGACAGTATTGGTAAGTTCAGCATTGTTAAAGTCATTATAGTGCTATGATTATGGTTGGCTAATTTGGACATATAGGTACTGGTAAGAAGGCGGATGCACAAGAGAAGTCTCTACAGGATATAGTAGAACAGAAGATGGAGAGCTTTGGCAGAGACAAGACATTAGGCACGGTAGAGAAGGTGAAGGAGTTGCTGGCCAGCGAGAGGTTCAAGCATACGAAATAGATGCTGTAGTATCTCATCTGTACAATGAAGTTAATGTACTTATTGCAACATACAATTGAATATGTGTACCAATCCATTGCATGTTACTCTTGAAGTTATTCATAACTTCTTCACGTATTTATTTTACATAAATGACTTACACGAGTGAACTATGATATTGAAAACAATGTACAGTGTATACACAGTATCCACTGTGATTAGTCCAAAATTCGTCTCATTCGAGAATCTTTTCAATTATCCATCCGACTTATACACAAGAATAGGAACGATTCAAGGTCTTATTCTCATAATTGAGCTTAGACTGTCGGTATAAACAATTGGAGTCGTAAGATATCTATTTTTCATTTTTCATAGAATTCATTACTGATCAATTACACAGGTCCTTTCTTTTAAGCAAGCAGATAGCCTCGAAACTCAGACTCCAGTACGGAGTACAGATTTTGATATATCATCAGTTTTTAAGAGCTTAAGCATCGGAGTAGATGCGCCAAACACTCTGTGCCCGCTGCAGGCCCCTAGCTGGCCTAACGCGAAGACAGGTCATACGCCCAGCAACACAACAGCAAAGACGTAACGAGTCTACTATTAGCAGCGATGTCAGTACCGATGAGCAGGGAGAAGTAACCAAGAAACGCAAGCCGAATGTCATCTTCTCCGGCATCCAACCCACCGGTGTTCCGCACCTAGGAAACTACCTAGGGGCATTGCGGCAATGGAGGAAACTTCAGGATGACGCAGAGCCCGAGGATAGACTGCTCTTCTCCGTTGTAGACCTGCACGCCATCACCATGCCCCAAGACGCCAAGGTCCTACGTCTGCGGCGCCGGGAGATGCTGGCCGCGCTACTAGCCATCGGCCTCGACCCGGAGAAAGGGTCTACGATATTCTTCCAGAGCTCCGTGCCTCAGCATACCGAGCTCATGTGGATTCTCAGCTGTACGGCGTCGATGGGGTATCTAGGGAGGATGACGCAGTGGAAGGTTAGTCTTCTGTTACCCCTTTATGTTTTTTTATAACCCATGATTACTTGTCATGTCTAGATATGTATGTATGAGTGTCTAACGTAGATATACAGAGTAAAATCCAAATGAACAATAAAGCAGGCGACCTTGAAGACGCAGCCATGACAAATCTAAAGCTAGGCCTATTCTCCTACCCCGTGCTCCAAGCAGCCGATATCCTAGTGCACCGCGCAACCCACGTCCCCGTCGGCGACGACCAGCGACAGCACCTAGAGTTCGCGCGCGAGTGTGCGACTAATTTCAACCACACGTTCAAGAACATCCTCGTCCCGCCCGAGACCATGACCAGTACGTTTCTCCTCTCCTCTCTCCTCCGTTTCTAATACCACTCCCCTTCCCTTTCCTATATCTATATAACTACATCAAAGATATACATCAAAGATTCATTAACCAACCAACCACCCTCCCACAACAGCCCCCTCCCCCCGCATAATGTCCCTAACCCACCCCGACTCCAAAATGTCAAAATCAACACCCAACCACCGCTCCCGCATAATCATAACCGCCCCTCCAAACGAGATCCGCTCCCGCATAATGAGCGCCGTAACCGACAGCCACAACGGCGTAACCTACGATCCCGAGATGCGGCCCGGCGTCGCCAACCTCCTCGAACTGCTATCGCAATGCAACAACGCCCAAGAAAGCCGCCCTCTGGCCCCCGACGAGCTGGCGCGCCAGCTTTCCGGCGCCTCGCTCAAGGATCTGAAGGAGCTCGTGGCGGAGGCCGTGTGCATAGAATTGCGCGGGGTGAGGGACCGGCATGACGAGTTTTTGAATCGGAAGGGGGGTAAGTGGCTTGATGAGATTGAGGCTGAGGGCGCCGAGGTGGCGAGGCGGAATGCGGAGGAGACGATGAGGATGGTGAGGGATGCGGTGGGCTTGGGACCGGGGGCGCGGCTTATCTAGGGTGCCTAGTGTACGAGGATAAAAAAGCACATTAGAGAAGCTAAAGACGTATATTATACTCGTTAGCTACGATAGATGCGACATCGTCGTAGTTAGCATCTGTAGTATTATTCACAACTTCACTACAAACTACTACGGCGGAATTACGCGATTAACAAAGTTAACGCATGATGAATTCGGCATTTTGTTTTAGATGTAACCTAGTCTAGAATTACACACTGGATCTTATCCAATCTGGAATAACATTCACGCCGGCTAGCCTGAACAATGCTCATAGTGATGTTCCGAATAGGTAGGTCATCACGATGTATACGCAAAGTTGGATCCTCTACAAGCCAGCCAAAAGGTTCGAACGAGAGCATTAGTTGCTCGCTGACCACGTAGCCTGTGCCGAAATGTCAGTCCTGCTACGATGTGTCAGTAAACAATGGTGGGTAAACTCACATAATTACTTTCTTGAGGAATAGTTCCTTGTCCTCTGGTGACACCTTGTCGCTAGGGAAGGCCGGATCTTGTAAGGCTGCTCCCAGCCATTGGCGGGCATTGACCTGCTGCGCTACCAGCTTCTTGAGCGGCTCGCTAAGCTTGTCGAGCTCGCTTCTTGCTGCCTTGCCCCCGATGTTCTGTATGAGTGATTCGGACAACTTTGGGCCTAGATATGTTATCGCGTTTTGCACAATAGCTCTAGTGTTCTCATCGGTTGTCTGGAGTGAAATAAATGTAGACTAATACCCGTATAGTTAGTTTTACCAGTATTTCTTATACTTCCAATGGCGACTAACCCAGAAATCGGCCGCTGCTGCTTTGGGTAGTGGCTCATTTCCATTTAGCAGCTTGATAGCAAACATGAAGAGGAACTCAAGCATGTTTGCGGGTTGGGACATGAGTACCTCTGGGCGCTTCGACATAACCCTCTGGGCAAATTCAATACCATACTGCGCCAGCTCAGGGTCTTGCTCAGGCTCTACAATAGCGTTAATAATATATCATGAGTGAGGTATCGTTCAACAGCTGAACAAAGACCCGCAAAGGAGCTATCGGCACCTTAAATACTGGAATAGTGACTCACCCGAAAGTTGATTTAATAGGCTAAAAACCCATGGTAAGAGTTGACTGAGGACCTCTGATATATACTTCTTTTGGTTTCCGCTGCTAAGAGACGTGACAAATACACTTGCTGTATTAACCACTGTAGCAACACGATTATCCCATCTGCTCGTAATGAACTCGGTGACCATCTGCGGAGGAAATACGAACGGTCCGGGCTCAGTTTCTGAGAAGCCGGCACGAAGGATGCTACAGATAACGTCGATAACTTCGCTATTACTCGGAAATGTCTCCTTAAGCCGAACGAGAATGTTCTGAAACCATTATCAGCCACCTCTTTCAAAACGATGCAGAACATACTTACCATGATATCAACTTGTATCTGTTGCAAGTCAGATATAGATGACGCTTGAGTACCTTCGTCGTCAGCTTCTAGGTCTACAAGGGCTTCGGAGGGTGCCTGAATTCCCTTGGCGATGCTACAAAGGCAGCGAAGAGCTCGAGTGGCTAGGTTCAATGATATTTCAGACGCCGGAACGGGTGCGTCCGGGCGCTGTGCAAAGTCATAGGCTCGTATTATCACCTATGCTACATTAGAAACCAGCTTTCACCGACTAGGGCATAGTACCCTCGTCTCTAACACAGCAAGACTTACCGGATTGTCAGGAGGCAAAAGAGACCCTTCGCCATAAGATGATAGTTGCAAGCTAGTCTCGACATCTACCCCTACCATGGCAAGTAACCTCTTAAAGGCGTTCGCCTTCCGCGTATCCTCGGGGACTGCCTGTATAATCGATGCAATAGCACCGACAACCCTCTCTTCGGCTAGTGAGTCAAGTTCACTGCTGCGTAGCGTTCCGTACTGTTCGAGGAAAGTATCAACTTCGGGTGTTAAAATTGATCGACAGGATGAGCAGAGTGTGTAGATCGATTTCGACGAAGGCAGTGCGAGATGCCTATCGCCTACCGCGCTAAAGAGTAAATTTAAAGCAGCGGGTAAGAATTCTGCGTGATGGCCAAAGTATTCTGAGTAACGTTCTATGAGGGAGAGACAGGTCTGTCTCGCCCGGACGGGTACCACGCTCTGTCCCTGACATAATAAATCAAATAGTGACGAGCCGAATATTTGAGTTAATATGTCGTCGAATGAACTTTCATCCGGCAGACAATCAGATAGGGAGCCCAAGCAAAAGGCTGCAGCTTCAAGCTCTGCCCAGGCCGATCTTGGCAAGGCTTCCAGCATGTTTTTCGCAAAGATGGAGACCAACTCTTTACCAATTATCGTATATACGGACTGCAGAAAATCGGCAACGTCTTTTCGTGCATCTCCAAAAGCGACTCTTTCCGTGGAGTCCCAAGAATTATAAATGGCGATATGAGGGTACCGTATCTTGCGCGAACTCTCTGAGACGGCCTGCATTATTTGCAATACCGGTGGTTTATCCCATTGTCTCTCTCTAGTTGAGTCTTCGTATAAAGTCCCCACTAGGATTTCAACGAAAGTCCCCCAGAATTCGAGAGCTGGAACGAATATCTTATCGTCCACCCCAGGGTACCCCTTTGCACTTAACAAGCCGGCTAGCATGGCAAGGAAACGTTGGGCTCTTTCGTTGGTCCCATCTGCCAAATCTTTTGCCTGGGCATTGCCGAAGGACAGCATAAAAAGGCCAAAATGAACGTCGTCATCATCCATCTCCTCACTCTCGATTAGGCTACGATATCTATCCCGAGCCCAGTCACTTTCAAAAACCGAGTATAGGGATTCGATGTGATCTCCAACGAAGAATGATGGCCAATCTTCTAAAGCGTCAGTAAGAAGCCCAACGGCAACGTCATATAACTCGGCATGTGGGAGACAGTTGATAACAGGGCCAACTAGTTTCCGAAACTGCTGGATTAATGGCTGTTTGGAACTTCGTTGGACATATTGAAGCCACGCTTGCAGACAACTTATCGAATCCGCCGGACGGGTATTGCAGTCGCTGACAGGTTTAATACCATGAACCAAGAGTACCACAACGTCAGCGGCATTGTTCGCCAGCCGCTCGTGAAGGGGGATATACTTGACAGGTTTAGTGTCAATCTTCTCTGCCTCGCTAGGCAAGATTTGGGCAAACCATGACACCGCGTATAAGTTTTCAACGTCCAACGACTGGACTATATCCTCATAGGGAGAAGCATTATCAGCATCTTCAATAGGTACATAGATACGGCTATCTAAGCAATATGAAAGATGGCGTATGCATCTGGGCCAGGTATGCGAGTAGTGGATAAAGTAGGTGACCAGAGTGCTACAGAGTTTCTTAACGACGAAACCCGCTGTCCCATCTCTAAGGGAAGTGATAAGGAAGCCGATGAGTTTCTGAAGAACGGATACAGCGTCTTCATCCGATAAACTATCTGCGAGTGAGCAACTGAAGTTTCAGGCAGCTTGTCAGAGAATTACCTTTCGGTGTTTAATTTCACGGTGAATGTCAATGCACCGAAAAACTTGACATTCTGATCTGGTCGATTTAGTAGGCCATCTGCAAGTTGCCACCCACCAGGAGATTTTTGGAGGGTCTGAAGGATTTCTTGGATACGGGAGATAGTTTGAGGGGGGTTCGGCTTATACAGCTCATGAACCAACTATGAAGAGTGTTAGTATAATAGCCCAGGAAATCCAAATAAGCCCCCTATGACAATTCTCTAGATTCTATTGGTGGAGAGGTTCAAAGAATATGTTAACTTACATGCTCGACTTCAGGTAGAGTAATAGTTTCAATCGATATGTTTTCCATGGTCGTTTTGGTTTTCGTGAGATGCCTCATCCATATCGGGAAGCTAGCGGGTTGCAAGTTTTGAGTATGGAATCTGAAGGTAGGTAGTTCATCCGTGCGCGAGAGGCGAGAGACAAGATGCTTGTAAAGTTAAAGAGACGAGGCTGAAATAGGCGTTAATCGAGAGTCCCCTGTAAAAAAAATTCCATGTAACAGTTTGACAGATTAACGACGTACCTATTCTCTACCTTAGATACTCATACATAAAGTAAAGAGGCTATCGACCAATTCCAGTTCACTATTAGGCTGCTATAAGTGTAATGAGAGCCAAGAATTGGGATAGACGGATGAGTGATTGGAATTCGCTATCCGCTTTGCTTTAAAACGTCATCCCGCAAACCTGGAAGGTAGGTACGGTACCGGCAAACTTATAAGGTACAAGGGTTTAGTGCCCAATTTTGATAGTGGGTTTCTGTATGTATAATATGGAGGTACATACGTGTACCGTCGCGTGAGCGCTAGTACTTTGCACATGCCGGTACGGACCCTAAATTGTGGAGGGATATGAGGTACCCCTAGAATATCATATTATTCTCCGAAGTCCATCCATATTCTGTGTATCCAGCAGAATTAATTGTTTAATTCCGAAGTACCGATGGGGAATATCCACTTCAGGAGTACATTAGGTACTTACAGCCCACCAGAGTTCTCCATCCCACCTTTTCTCAAGTCACCTCAAGATCTAACTTCTCTAACCTTAGCAACTTCAACCCCCGAGATCTATTGTTCAATAAAAGACATCGACTGGGCAGTATTGACTACCTAAGTACTGGATTCTAATGGATGCGACCCCCCAATAATACAACTAGAGCTCCTCGGATTTATCAGGGCTATTTACGTCCAGGTTTGCGGTATCTTATAGTTGGTTTCCTAGGCTAGACTCTGCTGGGTTGCGGCAGTTAGTATTCGGCAATATCGTTGCAGTTGATGCCGATAAGAATTTCTCTATCTTCTTGCGCATTGTATATGCCTCCGAAGACTACGCTTTCATCTGTCGTTAAGATACCTAGACTCGGATATCGACTGTGGAATCTTCGGGCTTCGCCGACAACTACGCTACGCCCAATATATCGGTTTCAGAGCACTGCTACAGCTATCAAGATGGAAAAGGTCGACACAACCGCTCGCCTTACCGAGCTCCGCAAGCTTATGAGCGAGAAAAAGGTTGACGTGTATAGTAGGCTAGCCAATGCATCATGTTCTTGACTTCCTTGGGTTTTGGCGACTGACGATTTTCTTAAGTCGTCCCGTCCGAGGATAGCCACTCTTCCGAGTATATTGCCCCGTGTGATGCTCGCCGTGCCTTTATCTCCGGGTTCACTGGGTCTGCAGGCTGCGCTGTCATTACTCACGAGAAAGCTGCCTTAGCTACGGATGGTCGATACTTTAACCAAGCATCTAAGCAGCTTGACGACAACTGGCACCTATTGAAACAAGGTCTCCAGGATGTTCCAACGTGGCAGGAATGGTCTGCAGAACAGGCTGCTGATGGTAAAGTTGTGGCTGTAGATCCGACTTTATTGACGAGCGGCGCTGCCAAGAAGCTCTCGGAGAAGATCAAGAAGAGCGGAGGCAAGGACCTAGAGCCGGTTGAAGTGAATCTGGTTGATATAGTTTGGGGTGACGATCGACCGTCTCGACCCAACGAACCCATAATTGTTCTAAGCGAGAAATTCAACGGGAAGGACGTCAAGACGAAGCTTACCGAACTTCGAAAGGAGCTTGAGAAGAAAAATTCGATTGGATTCGTCGTCTCGATGCTTGATGAAATTGCTTGGCTCTTCAATCTTCGAGGAAACGACATTCCATATAACCCGGTCTTCTTCTCGTACGCTATCGTGACCGCCGATGAGGCTACACTATACGTCGACTCGTCCAAGCTAAGTAGCGAGGGCCAATCGTACCTTGCGGAGAACGGCGTTGTTATCAAGCCATATGAAGATATCTTTAACGACGCCTCCGTGCTTCGCCAGTCAGTCGAAATCAAGGAGTCGGGAGAAGCCAACAAGAAGATTCTTATCTCAAATCGGGCATCGTGGGCTTTGAAGCGAGCGCTTGGTGGCGAAGATACGGTGGATGAGATTCGAAGCCCCGTTGGCGATTCCAAGGCTGTGAAGAATGAAACCGAGTTGGAAGGAATGAGAGCATGCCACATCAGAGATGGTGCAGCTCTAATTGAGTACTTCGCTTGGCTTGAAGACCAACTTATAGCAAAGAAGGCGACTATTGATGAGGTTGTAGCTGCGGATAAGCTCGAAGCTCTACGGGCGAAACAGAAGGACTTTGTTGGACTTTCTTTCCCCACGATATCATCGACAGGGCCGAAGTAAGTATACGTATTTCTGAGACTGCATCATAACCTAGCGATTCTAACTACCCCCTTCTAGTGCCGCCGTCATTCACTACAAGCCGGAGCCTGGAAGCTGTTCGATCATTGATCCTAATGCGGTTTACCTGTGTGATTCCGGGGCTCAGTATCTCGATGGCACTACAGACACAACTCGAACATTACACTTTGCCGATCCTACTGAGGCTGAGATCGAAGCCTATACGCTCACGTTGAAGGGAAATATTGCCCTAGATAGGGTTGTGTTCCCCAAGGGGACAACGGGCTTCGCGCTAGATGCTCTCGCACGCCAACATCTATGGGTATGTCTAAACTTTTGACTCTATGAACTGCCAATTTTACTTACTCGGTGATTTAGCTTCAAGGACTTGACTACCGTCATGGTACTGGCCATGGTGTTGGTTCGTATTTGAATGTGCACGAAGGACCAATCGGTATCGGTACGAGAGTACAGTACTCGGAGGTTGCTCTATCAGCTGGAAATGTCATCTCCAACGAGCCCGGTTATTACGAGGACGGCTCATTCGGTATTCGGATCGAGAATATCATCATGGTCAAGGAAGTACAGACCAAGTACAAATTCGGTGATAAGCCATACCTCGGCTTCGAGCATGTTACCATGGTGCCGTACTGCCGCAAACTCATCGACCCTAATCTTCTGACGAGCGAGGAGAAGGCATGGCTGAATGACTACAACACTGACATCTGGAATAAGACAAAAGGGTACTTTGAGAATGACGGATTGACCACAGAGTGGCTGAAGAGGGAAACGCAACCTTTCTGAAATGGAGGCTGACTTCCCCCTCTGATTCTATATGTCCATTGCTATCTACCTAGATGCCTAAGGTATACGAACAGCTAGAATTGCATAAAAGCAGACATTGCGAAGAATAGCCCGAAAGATAAATTAAATGCTGGATTCTTCTCCAAGGCGTTTAATATGCGTGAATTACCCAACCGTTGCTTTAACTTTAGCTGTTTTACTAAGTCAAGACCATATCTCGAAGCCACCTAGATGATGTTAGAGCTAAGATGTCCAAGATGAATTTTCTCGGCTACGCACCTGAACGACCACCGCGGTGAGACCTATAAGTAACACCAACGTCCGCGAGAAAATACTGATAAGGAGTCCTGAAATAAACCCTAGAATCCCGCTTAGTTTTGAAAGTACACGAGCACGCCCAAACTCGACCAACCTGCAATGCTCCCGCCAGAAAGCTGCTTCAAGAGGTCGGGATCTAACCTCTCTTTCGTAGGAGGACTACTGCTCATCGGCCGCGGGGTATCTCTCGCATCCATCCTGAGCTTCGGCTGTCTGAACGTCGCCATACTCGTTCCAAGGGAGAGCCCGACGATGCCGGCGCCGAGGGCATGGCGCGGCATGAAGGTTCGTGTTCGTGTGAGCAGTCTTGCCGACATCTTGAATTGGGGGTATTCTTTTCTCTGCGTAAAAGTGTCTGAGGTAGGTATGTACTTAAGGTAACGTGAGGCGAGAGCTATGTATGTATATCCGACCAATTATGAGCTTTTAAGATTTTATATGATTTTGCCCGAGTTTACGAGGGATATTGTCTGGCTCATCTCGATTTCCGAAAATGGACGAATTCCTTGAGAAGGAAGTTCGTCCGTGCGCAGCCTTCGA